TATTATGTCGCTTTTTCCTTTTTCACCACAGTGAGAAAAAAATCCATATCATCCCGGCCGAACAGCTATGACCTAACAGTCAAAAAAAAAGGGAGGGGAACAACAACACTTTCACAAACTGCGCTTCATACGTGCAGCTCTGTAAAAGCTCAGCAGTGAGCACATTGCAAAAAAAGGTTTTGCTTAAAAAACTTCAATGATCTCAAGGATCCTACTTTCATGAAAAGGAAGAATAGACACCAGGAGGCCTTCGACACATGAAAGTAATACAAACATAGCGAAGTGAAGGGATGCTCTCACATTCACACGTCACTGTCCTGTTAATTTAACACCTTTAAAATTAACACAAGGGGACATTTTCAGCCATTACATTTTTTTCTGTTTCACAAGATTTAAATCACTGCTGAAAACTTTCCTCACACAAAAGGAAATTGTCAGTGAAACAATTTTGCAGTGAGTATAGGTCAAATTCTGAGACATACACACTGTAGATCACTACATATGATCCTGGCATTTGGTAAACGATAGAAAATTTACACTACTGTGTGGTCTCAACAGTGCAGTTCAAAGTGTACTTAACTCTGAACTTTCCAACAAATTTTCAGGTCATACACTTAAAAACATTTTCACAGAGTGCTACACTTCAAAATGTTCAACTCTTGCATGGTGGTCACAGACAGAAACAGACAGAAAATCTAGTTATTTCTAATCTGTGAGACTGGAGAGACAGAGAAGGTGAAAGAGAGAAAGAGGGAGAGGGAAAGAGGAAGGCAGTGGTGAGTCAGACTGTAAACACTTGGTTGGGGTGAAGTTATCCAGCTGCCATGAAAACTGATCCAATAGCTGGCGAGTTCAAGCTGACTGTCTTGTCACACACACACTTATACACTCACACACGACTAACACCACTCTCCCTATAAAAACACATAGACACACAGCTGTACACTTGTAATGATGCACTTTTAACTGCACACAAGTATGTATACATCAGCACAAACAGACACCAAGTATAAAACCACAGAAGCCAAGGTTGATGGGACTGTGTATTTAGGGTGAGTGAAGAGGCGACAAGCCAGGGGGTTACTGGATCAAGGCAAAATATGCACACGTGTAAAGCTACAGATCAATCTTCAACACCTCTAACTGAAGCAACCAGGGATCTCCCACCACACATGTACAAACACACACTTACAGGCATGCACTTATACCAGCTCAGGGAACAATGTCCACCCTGCCTGCTGGGGCTGCATCCCACCTTAAACAATTGTACATTTGTACTTAATTCAACAGAATGAAAGAATTGATGAGCAGTATCACTAAGTTTAACTGTCCACATTGTCTCTACACAGAAAACCCAGAGAGCCAACAGCCCAGCTCCAGCAGAGCCCACAGTCTTTAAGTAAACAAATCCCAAATAAGGTGTAATGGTTTTAAGATTAACCATGCTTAGTGTCCAAGGTTACAAAACATTTACTGCAGGTAGGAGTTTAAGTAGAATAAGATACAACATACTAAAAATTTGTCAATCTGTCATTTTGATTTGAAAATGTCCTCTAAAGTAAAGTTAAGCAAGCTTCTTATGGCCTCTTTCCTTGGGTCAAGTTCAGGGCTCAAATTTATCAGTACCAGTTGGGTTCATTTGGAACATGTCTGCAAGACACAGGTCTCAGTTTTAGGCCCGCGCAGAACTCTACTCTGAAGTGGATACATTTGATAACAGTGGGATTGTGTTGTACAGCAGGGGAAATCTTTAAAAATGCCATGCAGAGTTAATAGAGTGCAGGTTTTCATTCCAATTGATCATCTCTGCAGGTGAGCTCTTTGGTTAGAATAACTGTTTGGCTCCTCGCAGCACATAGCTGGCCACCAGTAATGTGCATTATGGTGAGCAGACAGGGATGGGCACTAACATATAGCTGCAGGATTAAAGGAATATCATTTCTTGGGAAACACACTTATTCTTTTTTCCGAGAGTTGGATGAGAAGACAGATACGACTCTCATGTCTCGTGTATGGTAAATATGAAGCTGTATCAGCAGCTGGTGGATTTTTACACTTTTCTACAGATTAAACAAATGAGAAATAGCATGTTAATTAGTGAGCTTTAGAGGTGCGATTAGCTACATGGCTGCTGGCTCCAGCCACATACTTAGCATAAAGACATGAAAGAAAACAAAGACACCTTTCCCAATATGTCAAACTATTTTTTCTAACTTTTTGTTACCTCCAACTCCCTCTGATCACTCATCATTTCATCATGCAATAAGGGATTTATGGTTTGTGCTGCCAGATGAGTTGATGAGCATATTAATAGAGATTTTATCACATGTATCATTACAGCAGCCAAGGAATTTACTGGTAGCCTCAGTTAAGGGGACAGCAGTAATGAACTGTGTTCGAGTTACTGTTTTATTTACACGTTAACTGTGTTTGCAAGACATTCCTGAACGCTGATCAGTTTCAAGCTCAAACGTAAAGCTGATCAACTGAAAGTTCCTGCTCTTGCCTTGGAGCACTCAGAGCCTCCCACTGCTTCACCTATGCTGGAAGGTTCGATTTTAACATAGTCCTTAATAAAATTCATGACGATATTATCTGGAAAAATAACTTAAGAGAAAATCCTCCCTACCGATCTTGCTTTCACCCGAGGCTCTCGGCAGAACTCTTTGAAGATGAATGTAAATTCCTCTCAAAACATTCTCCATCTTAATTCAAAGAGCTAATATTGAGACACCCAGATGTTACTACATTATGTTGTCAAACTGCTGAAATAAGTCCTTGAAATGAAATGAGTGGTACTTCACTAAAGAGGAAAATATATAGATTCAAAATAAAGTGGGAGGGTGAAAGTGTTGATTGAAAGGGAGAGACTGACAGAGATCATGTCAGAGAAGGAATGACAGCGAGTGAGAGAGAGAGAGATAATGGAGAGTAAGGTAAGACAGAGAGGGAAGAGAGGAAAGAAACAAACAGGAAGTGGTGCCATTGCTAGCACCAATCTAAGTTTAAGCAAAAATTCAACTTTGTCTTCAACAGCCTCTAATGTTCATGATGCTGGATTCTCATCCCACTCCACCCACCTCTGCACATCAGAGCTCAACACCCAACGCCACCGCAGCGGCCTAATTAGTGGAGTACTGTGGCTGCTGGTCCGATGAGGACCTGTGTTTCATCAGGCTCTCATTTGCTCTGAAACGGCATTAACCTTTTGGACAGGCTGGTGCTTTGATTTCTCAGCTGTTTACAGCTCCCAGCTACTTTCTAAAAGCGTTATGTTTCAGGTGCTTGGCTGGCTGCACGGACTAAATATAGGCACTATGTAAGATTTCCCTGGAAAGGGACACACTCTAGGGGCAGAGGGCCTGTTCAGTGTGTGTGTGTGTGTGTGTGTGTGTGTGTGTGTGTGTGTGTGTGTGTGTGTGTGTGTGTGTCTTCTTGTTTTTCGAGACTTATGAGGACCAAATGTACTCAGAAGGTGAGGAGGATAGGGAAAACACTTAATTTACAGAGAAATTTTGGGCTAGGATTAAACTACTATAATTAAAATGTGTCCCGAAAAAAAGGTGTGTAGTGGTTAAGATTAAAATTATTGTGTGTGAATTACTGTATGTGCAAAAACTATAGTGTATCTTTATGGTAGATTAAAAGTTATGCACCCATGATTTGTACAAGGACTTTAAAAACAGATTTTAACTCAACACCACACTGCCACTCAAATGCTTTAACTTGTTCTTTACTTTAGAACCACTTGAAGTTATATCTAGCGCTGACTCGTTATCCTAGTCCTCTATTCCTCAAATCACCTCAGTCAGTTTTGCGACCACTTCTACTAGCCAGCTAGCCGATTTTTTAGTATGCAACACTGCAGAATCCATCACCCCTGACAAGAGCTTAATCCTTTAAAATTCAAGTGATATGGACAGACAGTCACACAAGAAAGTTTGATTACCTTCAGTGAAAGGCAAGATACGATATGATACTAAAAACCATTGCCACTCCACTGCTCACTATACTAACTCTCTGTTAGCCTTGGTGCCCTCAGTGTTATGTAGCCTCCTAGCGTCTCTACTATACACAAGTCATATCTATAAATGAATAAGAAAAATCCTTAAGCCTGTAGCGAAGTCAGGTCAATCAAGTCAATTGTATTTATGTAGGCTAGCCCAATATTACAAGTTTAACATGAGGACCTTTACAATCTGTACACTGTACGACACCCTCTTATCCTTCAAAAGCCTTTAAGAAATGGGAAGCAACTGGAGCACAGTTTACTGATTTCCCGTTAACATTATACTGTATCATTTAATGGTAATATTGAAATTCAGGTTCAATTCAAATTCGAGTCAATTCATAGAGGAATTTGATATTTTGTTTTTTTCTTTAAAGTCATAACTACCATTACTGTGCTGAAAATCAAACAACAGTAATAACAGTATCTAAAAATATATATTTTACAGAAATGTTTAAAAAATCCTGTACTGAGTAAGTTGGAAAATTTGGAGTCAAAGGCAAATGTATCCACCAGCCTGACCCCTACAGTATTTCTACAGTATGTTTAACTATTACAGTGTTACAGTCATGCTCCAGGCCACCCACACAGTAGACACCATTGCCGCTCTACTTTCCATATAACTATAAACATACATTTGTGATGACAGATATAACATGGCTGTACATTTAAGGTTTAGTTTAGAAGTTCATTTGAGCAAACCTGCTTTGGTGTGTATGTGTGCGTGTTCTTATACGTCCATCTTTGTGAGGACCAAGGCCACAGGACATTTTGTCACATCCTTACTTCTTTAAAGTGCTGTTTAAGAGCCAAGACTTGGTTTTAGGGTTTGGGTTAGAATTAGGTTATGGTTAGGGTAACGGTAGGCAATTCATTGTGTTGGTAAAGGTTCGATGCTAGGGAATACATTATGTTCATGAAAGTCCTCACAGGTATTGGAGTACAAGAATGTGTGAGTATGTCTGTATGCCTGGTTAAGTGCAAGATTTACCTGTGCCTTTGTTGCGGTCCACAAAGCAGTACTTCAGTTCATATTCTTTCAGAATTTCATGGACTTCCTATAAAGAGACAGAATGAGAGAGAGATGTGATTTTAGCCAAAAGAAGAAACAAGTGCTCAAACATTTCAAATGTAAAATATACAAGTCTAAACTATCAACTTGAGGCCTGCAACCAACAATTATTTTAATTTATCAACTAATCTAACATTTGTTTAATCAAATAAATTCATTATTGTCAATCTTCTCAAAATTGACAAAACTGCTTGAAGTTACCAAAGTGATGACATAATCACCTATTTAAAAGTGACTAAAATTATTTTCTTTCTCAATAATTATTTACGGTGTCAGGTAATTTGCAGTGCACCAAGTAATATGTTACTCAGTTAAAAAATTTGCAATTGCACCATGCAAAATGCAATTAAATTTGGCCAGTAAATAAACTCTGTAGTGCCCGACTTGATTCACAAAGTCATCTCAGGACACTACTATTTTAAGAGCAAGACAATTATTCACTATTCAACTTTTCAATAACACACTGAGTATTCAAATAATCACTATGACAACTTGAATTAAGATAAATATAATAAAATGGACTCATAACACTGATGAAACCTTATTTTTGACACCTGAGCAAACTCTTTTCCTTCACAATGAACTCTTTGATGGGAAACTCCCCCAATCGCAGTAATTTGTCTCTAATGGGTAATAACGTTAAAAAAAAATGAAAAAATTGTATTGTATTTTCAAAGATGAAAGGTGTCTCCTGTCAAGCTTATAATCACAGCAGCCCACTACACAGCACTCTAATCCACATGGACACACACGCACAGCTTCATATGAAAGAAAGAAATCTGATTTTATTTTTTTTAAGAAGTGTGGTTTCCACTCTCCTGAAGAAATGGTTTTGTTCTTCCAGTGACAGCCTATGATGAGACAAGAAAGGGAGCAAAGAGAGAGATGTAATAGCACAGCAAGAGAAGCTCACACCCTGCCTGAATGTGTTATGAACTCCACTGCTCACTATACTAAATATGTTAGCCTTGGTGCCTTCATGATGGCTTTCACTGTTATGTAGCCTCACAGAGGTTCTGCTGCACACAAGTCAATGACAGTATAAACTGCTTAGAGCATGGCATCAAGTATTTTTTTTTTTTTTTTTTTTTTTTTTAAGATATGCTCCTGTGATATGAGCAACCTTGTAGATCCAGTCACTGTCAAACCTGTCCAAGAACACAACAGCTCCAGATCGAACACAGGAACACAGTGTAGGTGGAAAGGCTGAAGAGTGAGCAAAAAAAAAAGAAAAAAAAAAAAGAAAAAAAAAGAAGAAGAAACAATCACCACCCACAGTGCTAAAACAACCTGCGAGCCTCAGTCTAAACTCTGACAGTGGAAAGATCACTTCAACATAGAGCAATTACTGTTAAGTGCCAGCAGAGACACAATGTAATGGCCACTGCATGATGCACATCATACAGGACTTTCAAACTGGTTTATCCTCTGTTGCACAGTGAATTCTCCACGATCTAAGTAACTGCGGTGAGATTCTCTCCCTACTTGTCACACTGGGCCTCATGCAAGAACCACCATATGAATAGACTGGTTCTTGTGTGGAACGTACGAGTTGTTTAACAGAATTGGCATTCACCAATTTTCTTGTGTTAAGAGATCTCAGGTACAAATAAAACATCCAGATCTGGTTTACAAATCATGTCATTGTTCACAAGGGAAGAAAAAACAAACAAACAAAAAAAAAAAAAAAACACTAATTTGACCTGAAGTCATAATTCCTTAGTCTGTATGAATTTTGACACTGCTTTAAATAACCAAAACTAATTAAAATAAAACATCTGAGACCATTACAATAACCACATCATTATCATCATCATGGCTTGCCATTTTACTCAGAGGTTTTAGATTATGATTTTTATTAATGTTTTGGCACAGAAACTTAAACATTACAGTATTTAGGAGAATTCTCTCACTCCAGCAGCTGCTTCAGGGTCTTTATGCAGTCCACTGTGCAGCATCATCCTCTGTTGCACCTGACAGTGTAACATTGCTCTAATTTGAAGCTCTGTAGATTATAATATTATCTTGTCTAATATCTCAGAGAATAGCTCTAAGACTGTCATACCCCCATGACCACTTCTCATATTAGTCATGGACCGCTTTGCCTTAGAAATACATTTATTTCGTGTGTAACCTCCTCATCTTCAATCATTCCCTCTTTATTTCTGTCACAGTACAGCGCTGGTCTGATTATATGTTTCAGGGTCCCTAATATCCCTATTGACTCGGCTAAAGGTGTTATCTTTTTGTTTGACGATATCTGACAGCAGGATTTGAAGCTGTGCAGTGTCAAATTATTCTTTTTAATCTCTGGAAACATTTTTTGTGAATTAAACCTCTCCACACACAGAGTAGAACTGGTAGCCTTATTTAGCATTTTTAGTGGTGTCCTTTATGCTAGTGATCACATCTCACAAACATGCACCTCCTCATAAGAGAGTTTGATGAATCCAACTTAGAACACTCATATGAGCAAACCTCACAGGAAAAAAAGGATAAGAATATGAAAATGTTCTTGTGGCCCATAGTCTTTTCCACTTCCTCCCACCCTGTCTGTCATTAAGTTACTATTCAATCTTTCAAAATGCAGTGAAGAAAGTGGTGGGTTGGAGCAAATAAATAGGCTTGAATGCGGAAAAAACAGTCTTTACAGAAATGTTTAGTATTTGGGAGGAAGCATCTGCTTGTCGCCAGCTAATGTTGCCCAAATTCAGTGTTTTTATCCACTGCTAGCTAATGTTGGCCATGTTTTGTGCTTCCATTCAAAGATGAAAACAAAGAAATGAACTCTGCATTATTGTAATTCACCAGCTTGTGGTCATGCAATGGTCAATTTTTACATTAGAGAGCAAGCTGGGTTGACATTTCCAGGACATCATGTGGACAGATACTTCACAGAAAACATTTCCATTCCCATTTATCACATCAATTTTTACAAAGAAGAAAAAAAAACAAAATCTGCCTCAACATTTCAGGTGTTCTTATATGTACATTTTCTCTCTTTCCTCTAACCACCCGTCCAGCCCACTCAGGTACACAGTGAGCAGGCATGTTCCCTATCGGTGAAGGCTATGTGAGGCAGCCCACACAGAGGGTCAACTCGCTCGCCCTTAAAAAAAATCAGCGCAGAGTGAGCTGTAATAGCAAAGAGGGAAACAGAGAGAGTGAGAGAGATTTTAGTTTTGGATCTGTGCTTCATGTTTATCTCTTCCATGATCCATCTGTCCTGCTACAGAAAGAAAAGGCATGAATGGAGGAATTAGTCTGACGAGGTGAAGAGAAACCGCTTGAAACCAAAACCATCATTATTTGTATATAGCCGACACCCCAACCTCTTCTCTGAGAAACAGGTGAAAAATCTACCAATGCAGTAAGTACAGCCTGGCTGACATTGGATTCTAGAAGCAGATGCAAATATTAATGTTTAGGAGTTTTACAAAATGCTGATGTCAGAAAGTAGTGAAAAATGCCCTTTATAACAGCCCACAGTCCAAGGTGATATATATTTTCCTTACCCGTTTTACCATTTACCAACATCTAATCCTCATATCCGAGTAGCTGGAACCAGACACTGTTTTCTGTCAATTGCTTAATCTTTTCATTGACTACTTGCAGCACATTTTGACATAAACTTTACCAAACAATCATGATACAGATTCCCTTGGATTTGTTTCTGTTGTTTGGGGTTTTTGTGACCAAGAACTACAATGAGGAAGAGATTTTATAGTAAAAATAAACTTGGTGTTGTGTCATGGACAAACAAAGTAATGACTGTTTCTGTAGTAACCTAATACCGGCCAACATGTTGGCCGACTGGTAAGAACATTTCAACCAATTTTCAAAACAGAAATCAATTTCCTCAACATAATGTGAGGTTTCTGCTCTAGAATCAAAAAATATTTTTAAAAAATTTTTTCCAAGTAAACAAAGCTTTAAGGGTTTTACCAGACTTCGTCTTTAAAATGCCAATGCACACTCGTACCATTATAAAACAGGACTGTAGACAATTAAACAATAAGGTAAATACTCTAAGAATAAAATAAGTTTTAAACATCTTGGATCAAAGCAGGCCTGCAAAAATATGATCATTTAGGCAAAGCGATTTAAGGTGGTAGTGAGCACTGGACAGTATGCAGACACTGACACTGACCAAGCACATTACTTGTTGACATTCAGACAAGGTTAAATCATGCCTCTGTCATTCTCTCCAGTGCTAGTTTATTGTGTGGCCCTGTGCTGCTCTGTGCTTGAGCTGAAAGTTTGTCTCTCACAGCTCTGGCACATTACAAGACATTTAAAGACTATTTTTAGGAGCCCAAACAGCCCTGCCTCTCGTCTCAGCAACACAATTTACCAGTTGAGCAAACCATGCTGCTCTTTAAAAAAAAAAAAGAAAAAAAGAAAAGATATTCCAGTTTGTTTCACCCTATTTCCTTTTACATGTCATGATTTACTGCCGTCTTAATAGTTGCTATGGTGGTTTACATCCACTATATTCCATCAAGGTCTTCTATGGTGTTCCACTTTGTTTCATTGAGATTCCTAATACACTATTTCAAAAGCTTTCTAATTAACACTGCTGTAATAGCTTTCAAAACAGCCACGGGTTCAGTAAAGAGACAGTAAGGCAAACCAGCCTACAGCTTTAAATTCAAGGAGAGCAACACACATACTCTACTAAAACTAAACACACTTACTGCAAATCATAACACCTTGATTTTTCAATTTGAGTCAACATAAAGCTACACTTTTTAACCACCACTCTAACCACTGCATAAGTAGATACAGTTAACGTCATTCCACATTTAAAAACTCACCTGTCCTGCCCCACCACAAGTCTTCAAGACCAACAGTGATTAGATAGAGAACCTGGACCACATGTGGTCAGATGCAGCAGGGCAACCTGCTATAGTTTTTCCTGTTCAAGGCCATTCTACACTATGTTCCTCATATCAAGATGTTGTATAGTATAACTGAGCATGTGAT